TGATATCCTACTGAATTTAGCATGGAGTCTTATACAAAGCTCAGACTCAGCAAGAAATAAGCTGAATAAATCCAGACTGAAACCACATCCCCTCAAAATACAAGGTATATAGATATGATTATTAGTAATTCCACATACCCACTAGTTTTTGGATGTTTTTAGTAAAATAAAAGTCAAAATGAAAGTTGGTAACTCTGCACTACTTATAGTCCCCATTCTTCACATTGATTTAAGCCATAAGCTAATGCAGAAATTGGCTTAATTCCCACAGGAAGAACAAAACTGTTTCATTTAAATATTTCCTCTCGTCCCCAGGAGTCAGCATTTTTTGATGTGCATAAATGGAAGAGTCTTAAGAGTATTAAGAGTCTTTCCATGTATAAAAAAAGTGCTGCAAAATATCATTTTTATTTATATAACCAAAATGTAAAAGTGAAAATGACTGAAATAGCAATTTTAGTAAAGAGCTTTTCCATTTGGGGCCACAGATATAGTACAGGGGTTAAGGTGCTTGTCTTGGAAGTAGCCAATCCCAATTCAATTCCCAGAGTTGCATATAGTTTCTGAGTACCTGGGCTGGAGCAATAGCACTGTGGTAGGGCGTTTGCCTTGTGCGCAGCTGGCCTGGCTGAGTCAGGTTCGATTCCTCTGACCCTCTCAGAGAGCCGGGCAAGCTACTGAGAGTATCTCGCCTGCATGGCAAAGCCTGGCAAGCTACCCATGATGTATTCAATATGCCAAACACAGTAATAACAAGTCTCAAAATGGAAATGTTACTGGGTCTGCTCAAGCAAATCGATGAACAACGGGAGGACAGTTTGTTCTGAGTACCACCAGAAGTAGTCCCTGAGCACAGAGACAGGAATAAGGCCTGAACACCTGCCAGGTGTGACCCCAGAACAAACAGCAAAAACAAAACATTTCATCCATCATAAAAAATATGCTCATTTTTATTGGAGGGTTCATGCCCGCGCTTAATGGTGCTCAGAAGCTACTATTGACCCCGTACTTGCAGTAACTACCAAGACTGTTTGGGAAACCCTGCAGTGCTGGGATCAAACCAGATAAGTGCTTTAACCCCTGTATTATGTCTCCCACTCCTGTAGAAATATTTATTGGGTCAGAGAGATAGTACAGTGATTTAAGTACTTGGCCTTGCATGTGGTTGACCCCTTTCAATTCTTAGCAACACATATATCACCAAGTATCTGCAGTAGCGACTGCACCAGGAGTAAGCCCTAAATACTGCTTATTGTGGCCCAAAGTCCGATAAACACACAGACACACACACAAATATAAACACAAAAATGTTTTAATATAAAATTAAGTTTAGTTATAGAACTGTAATCTTATGAAATAAATTTTTAAAAATTAATAGTACCACTCTTTGCTATAAATATGTTTCTCACCAGGTACTTCAGCAATGTATTCTTTTTTTAAATTTAAATATATTATTTAATTGAGGGCTCAGTAGTACAGTGTGTGGGCATTTGCCTTGCACACGGCTGAGTCGGATTCGATTCTTCTATCCCTCTCAGAGAGCCCAGCAAGCTACCGAGAGTATCCCGCCAGCATGGCAGAGCCTGGTAAGCTCCCCATGGCGTATTCAATATGCCAAAAATAGTAACAACAAGTCTCACAATGGAGATGTTACTGGTGTCTGCTTGAGCACATCAATGAACAACCGGAGGACAGTGCTATTTAATTGAAACACAATGAGATATACAGTTATAAAGTTCATGACTAGATTTCAGTCATATAATGTTCCAACACCCCTCCCTTCACCAGTGTACATTTCCCACCAAAAAAGTCCCCAGTTTTCCCCCCACCTCCACACTTTCCCCCCCCCCACCCCGCCCCAAACCCTGCTTCCTCTATAGCAGGCGCTTTTCTTCTCTCTGTCTGTCTCTCTGTTTCTTTGTCTCTCTCTTTTCTCTTGGGCATTATGGTTTGCAATGCAGATACGGAAAGGTTATCAGTTACATACCTTTACCTACTTTCAAGCAACATACTAATTCTTGATGAAGAGACATTCAGAATTTAAAAAGCAAAATTATATTTTGTCCTCTTAGATCTCAATTAATACTTGGGATTCTTTGTATATAAAATAACCTAAAGTTAAATTAATGATGTTAAAGTAAATTATAGAGGAAATACGTATTTTATAGACGAGAAAAACAAAACCATCATAACACATATTGAAGAGCTGGAATAGGTATTTTGTTAAAAGACAAATATACCCCACAGTCTTCTCAATATGGTGATAAATGGATGTACAACCAGGGTTGCAAGTACATATATTTACTCTGTATAGTAACAAGCATAGCTTTAAAAAAAAAAGGCAATACAATCCCAAAATATAGCTATAATTAATGTACTTTGACACTTAAACAACAGAAAAAAATACTTTGCAAAATTAAGATTACCACGTAGACAAGAAAATAGGAAAGTCAGCAAAACTACTCTACTGAGTGACTGGGAACTAAGGTTTATTTATTATAGTCTTAAATAATCAGATAACTAATTTATAAAATCAATTTAAAGCCTATCAATATAAAAGAATATTTCCATAAAGGTGATACATATATACAAGCAAAAAAAATGTACAGGAATGCTTTAAATTAGAGCAGAGGATAATCAATCAACACATAAGTTATTGCTTTAACATATCTGTTTACTTCAGTATAAAAATGTATAGTATAATTGACATTTGTATTTTATAAATCTGAATTTATAAATTTCAGTGGCATATTAGGCAGATTATGAATAGAAAACCAAAGAAATTTGTGGAACAGATTAAGAAAAGACCACATCTGTTGATATATCAATTTGAACATCAGAAACTTACTGTTAATAAAAAATTGTACTTTATCCAAATCTATGAGAGACTAATTTGTTGTAACCCGATCAGAGCAGTTTTATTTTAGTAAATGCATTTTCAAAAACTAAACAGCCAATGCTTTATATAAGGAGAATTTGGGGGTGGTGTTAGGAAAAATGGCTTTAATGGAGATTCAGTATTGATTTTATGATAAGTTCTGTTATTTAAAATACACAATCTCACAAATCAGGCTTAAATCTTACAGCATCTCAATATCATTATATTTTGTCAGGTCAGACACCTTGTATAGCTCTTTTCTCACTGATTCATTACAATGTCCACAGAAAAATAAATGTGACATTCAAGGGCTCAATAAATAGTAGTAAGCTGACCATCATTTATAATACATATTAATCAACATGACAAAACTAAAGATTCTCTAATTCATCTTAATAAAGTTATAATTTTAAGTTTATTGTTTATGTTTATTGTTTATTGCTTAAGTATTGTTTTCTTAGAAATGCCACACAAAGATGCCCACTCTAGTATTATTAACAAAGCTATGCTTCTAATACACCTCTTCACACTTGTGAACTTTTTCTCTGCTGCTCCATCTTTCTCCAGAGCTTTTATTATTAATAAATTCTTTAACGATGCTTTTCTACTCCCTTTCCAATGCATTAGATTATAAGCTCCTACTAGGCAGGTGCTTACTTGTTCTATTAATTTCTTTATATCCATTGCACTTGGCACTTGGAAGGTACTTTTTGAAATTTTTCTGGATAAATGATGATGGGATAATTATTATTTTGGTACTCCAAGCTTATGATTTACATTCTTCTCTAAGATATTGAGAGAGTTTTCCTACCAAACTTTCTAATATGTATACAACAGCCTGCATTACAATGTGATTCTCCTATTAACTATGATACTGGGTGAGATATTAATTTATCTGAGTATCAGAAGAATGGATCACATTATTTGAGTTGATCTGTGGATGTTGAGAGAGATTAATAAGGTGATAAATATAAAGTAGCAGGCTTGACACAGAATAAGTGGTCAATAAATTTTACTTGTTATTGTTCTTACAGTATAACTATTAAATAATTATGTTTTCTGAAAACATCCTATCAATTCTTGAAGTAGAGCATAATAATAGAAACTAAGAGCAGGGTTCAAGTAATATGTGGTTGAATCTCCTTAAAACATACTTCTGCATTTTGCATTCATGAACATTAATTTCTTTCATACATGCTCCATCCAACTGTATAAAACTTGTATAGAAAACACTATACTGGGTTTCAATTACTTGATTGTGTTTTATCTTTTCTGTGACACTGTGTGGATTTTCAGGGTCTGAAATCTCTGTATTCTATTATAAAACAGGCACTCTGTAGATGTTTGCCCAGTGGATGGAATGCGACTGAGTCCACTATTTGTAATCATGTCACATGTGCACTTTCATTACTGTTTCAAAATTACATTTCTCAATAGATAGCGGAGATCTAGAGAGCAGCGAGAGGGTTTAGTGCTGGAGAGTGATGCAGAGCAGAATGTGTATGATCATAAAAGCAGTGCACTGAAATCAGTGGTGTGCTATGAATAAAAAAGTGCTTTGAAGACTGAAACCAAACTGGTTCTTATTTCCTCATAAATGGTTACCCATTTCAATAGTAATGATCTAATTTATATCCATCTTACTTTATGGAAGTGTGACTGTGTAGGGGAACTTTCAAATAAAAACACATTTGATGAAGTTGAAAAGCATAGTTATTACAAATGAAAACTGTAGATCAGGAAAGAGGTACACAGCTTGAGGTTTGACTAGATGTAAGGATCAAAAAACAGTAAAGATATTAGGAAGTCCTTAGGTATTTAACACTATAGCAAAGGAGCGTGCAAGAACTAATTTTAAACGTCAACCCAATGCAAAGTATTTAGTAATGTCAAAGCCTGTATTAAAATAATAATAAAAAATGTGTAGTATTGTAACAGCACAATAACATGCACCTCTGCAAAAAAGAAGGAAATATGAGACCAGCGCATTTGACTGTTGAATTGGCCATCTATATGGGGTATCAGAGAGGCAAAAACAATAAGATGGAGCTTCTGTGCATAAAATATCAGATGCTGTGAGCCCATCCCTTTGAGTAATGCATTTCATTAGGAAACTACTTACATTAGGCCTCAGCCTGGCTGCCAGATCATAATACTTCTCAGCTGCTTCATTGAGGCTAGCCTGTCTGTTAAGGAAAAACAAACAAAAAGGATGTATCATTTTAAAGCAGATTCTGCAAGGAATCATTATACAACAAAATAATATTAACTTTCTAAAATTACAACTACACTAATCAAACAGTAAGTCACCTAAACAGGAAAAGACTATTGAAATTAGATAGCATGTAATGCACTTATCAGTCTTTAAAGCATTATGAATATCATCTCTAGTATCTCAACCTAATTGTATTCAGGTGGTACTATGATTCTAAATTTACAAATCAGGAATTATAGATGCTGTTTTCTTTTCCAAGGGAGCACAGATAATAGGCCATACATTTGGAATTCTCCAGCTCAAACATAATGTTCCAGAATAAATTTTTAAAATAAATTATTAATATAATTAGTTGTTTTGTTTCATGACTCCAGTGAACAGTTATATATTAAAAAAACAAGGTGGGGGGGAGTTCCAGACCCTGTACCAGGATGTCTTCCTGGAGCAACTCGGAGGGGTTGGGTTAAGTTTCCCTCTTCCCCCAACAGAGCCCTGGTAGCTGAAAACCTCCAAAACCCAACTGCCACCATGCTCAGGGCTGCTTTCTACAGGCTCAGATGACCTCACCCACGGGGGAACATGCAGAAAAACCCAGGTATGCAGGACCGTGACTGAAATCTCCAAGCTCACTTGGAGAGGCCTCCTCCCCCCAGCTCCCAAGTTTTCCAGTAGTTGGCAGTCACACCTGGCGCCATATAAACTCATCACGTACCAAGATCCAGAGACTCAGAAATAAAGCTCCCTGAAGACAGCAACATAGGCTTCACCCATGAGTGAATCTGCTGTATAATCGTATTATAATTTTAGAATTCCTGAACCTCTCATCCTCTATACCACTGATGTGCCACACTTTGGGGTACAATTTGGGACATGGATAGAAACATTAGAAATTTGTGGTGCGAAGGTACAATGGTGGTGGGATTGGTGTTTAAATATTAAATTTAATGAATTATAGTAAACAACTTTATAAAAATAAAAAATAAAATAAAAAGATGAAAATATATTTTTTAAATGGAAGCCAAACATACAAGTTCAAAATTTATCACTTAATGCTATGTAGCTGAAAGCAATTAATATCCAGTAGACCCAGACATTTTTTCACTCCTCTTAAGTGCCTAAAAATAATTAGAAAGAGGGGCCTGTGCCAGAAAGAGAGCTATCATCTAGAGATAACTGTTGTTTAAAGAGATGAATTTTTTTTAAAAAAATTGCTCTTTTCTATTCCTCTGAAGTCTCATACCTCAGTCCCTCCCTTAGCTCAGGTTGGCACAGAAGCCTTTGCTGCCTAGCTGCCCTTGAGTCTCAAGACTTTAAGTGGGGGAGTTCCTTACATATAAGATTAATTAAATGTTTTTTTTTCCTGTTGATGTCTCTTTATCACCACAGGAGGTGGGGGTTATCTCAGTAAAGAACCTGTGAGAGTTCTTTAAACAGCTTGGAGGGAAAACTGTTTTGTCCTCCAGACATTGTTTAGAAAGCCATTCTCTGGGTAGAGTAGGGGTGTCCGCTTTTATTTATTTATTTATTTATTTATTTACTTACTTACTTACTTTTGACTTTCATGATACTTTATGAGCAACACCATACATGGTGATGCTCAGGGGTTACTCATGGCTCTGTAATCAGGAGCTCTGCAATTACTCCTGTTAGTGCTCAGGGGACCATATGGGATGCCATGGATTGAACCCAGCTTGGCCTTGTGCAAGGAAAATGCCCTACCCACTGTACTACTGCTCCAGCCCCTTGCTTTTATTTTTTTAAGATGTTTCTTTTCACTTCCTCACCATAGTCATGGTCATACAGCACAGTCTCAGCCAATTACACATTCTTACTTTGGAGTTTCATTTTAGGGATGGACAGAAATATGAAAAGATGGTTAGAATTCACTCACAATAGTGAAGTGATGGGCCATCTACTTAGCCACACTTTTGTTGTGAGAATTAATATTGGGGAGACTATGGAGAAAGCGCAAGTGGACACAAGTGTAGTATCTGTGAGGTCTTGAGCTCTTAGTGCTGCATTCCCCACCCTTCCTCAGAACTGCCAAGTTGGAGCATCTTGGGGTTCTGATCACTTAAGACCCACACTGCTGGGTGTGGACTCTACAAGAAACAAAAAAATAATTACTATTGGATATCATGTTTTTTGACCTTGACGGCTCCCCTTTTTCTTGCTGCTTCAAGCTATTTATTCTTGTCTACAGTGGCCTTTCTAGTTTTACAACAGTTTCCACAGTTCTTAAATAGATAGATTTGGTTTCTATTGACTACTAACAAATGGGGTGAGAGGTAGCACAGTTCACACAATCAAGATGCACACTGAGTTTTTTTCAAACAGAAACATTTCTAAAATGTACAAAATTCATGCACTTAGGTTCAGTCAGATGATTAGCATAAGAAACCACAGGCCAGCATCCTCAAAAATCTCAGACATTAACCTTCAGTATGGAATCTGATCAGTTCACACTGCTTCAAAAACCTAAAAATGGCAGACAATCTGATCTAGAAAATGCTTGTGGGTTTAGCTGTAATGTTGTGACCATACTTGAGGAATACAATAGAAATGGTAGAGGAAAATATCAAACGCAATTACAGATTATGTATATATTATAGTTATGATTAGAACAACAGTAGTGGCTAGCAGTGCTACAGTTAAAATGGAGTCATTTCCTTTCAAATGGGATGTTAGGAAACTTTGAGGTTTGAAGATGACAGAGATTTCAGGTAGGAAGAGCAGAAACAAAACTTCATGTTCTCATCCAAACACCACATTCAGGTTTTTAATAATAAGAAGTTTAACTAGTCATGCCTAGAAAATTGAAACTGTACTTTGGTCAAGCAAAATAAAAACTATAGACATATCCATTGCAGCCATATAAATTATAGGAATAACTGAAGATAACATCTCTCTGGACATATTTTTCTAATTTTTGGAGGAAAAATAATTAGAAACACTGCTATTCTAATGGCATCATAGAGAAAGTAAAAACACTTGACCTGGGGGCCTACTGGACTCATGACATGTTACAATGTGCCACTGCAATTTATATTCTCATAAATGCTAACGTCCTATTTCAGTGTCAAGGAAAGTTCGTTTGTCTGGTATGAAATAGTAAAAATTCCCCCTCTAGAGGATTTACTGACAGTTCTGTCCACCAAATCATAGAATCACTCTGGTTCAAACTCATTTAGAAATTCAATCCAACATTCATAAGGTCATGCCCTGGAAGGGTTTTCTCCAGTGTAAAATAAAAGACATGGAGGTAGGAAATTAAAGTAATTTCAGACTACAAAGCTGTGCTACTTTCAAGTAAAATCAACCAAAGTAAGAAACCTAACTTCATGTGCGTAATACTTATTTTATTTTATGAATATTTAAATTTGTGAGATAAATAAGGATAAAAGAAAAATGGAGAAAACCATTAGGGAAAGGCCTGTATTTAAAAAATTTTAAATTGATTTATTTTAAACTGAATCACAATGAATTAAAGATTGACAAAGTTATTCATTATCGAGTTTCAGATATACAATGTTCCAACACCAATCCATTTACCAGTGTCCACTTTCCTCTACCAATATCCCTAGTTTCCTTTGTGTCTCCAAGCCTGCCTCTGTGGTAGGCACATCCCCCTTCCGCCATTGTCCTAGTCTAGTGTTCCCTTCCCTAACTTATCTCCACACTTCCGCTCCAGTGGCAAGCTTCTTACTGAAGACAAGGACTCCTGTTCTTGTTCTTTGTTTTTATTGCCTTTGGGCATTTGCTATAAACTCCTACTAAGTTTCTTTATACCCAGCATATTACAGAGATCCTTCTGTGTCTGTCCTTCTCACTCTAACTTCTTTTAGTTAGAAGTTAAAAAAAAACCACCTCTCCCAAATGGTTATTAGTTGCTACTATATTCATAGTAGTCACGGGTGATTCAATTAACAAAGAGTATCTAGTTTAGAAGACTTAATTTCTTAAGATATAGTTCATACTATTCCAAAGAAAGGGGTGGGGGTAAAATTAATTTTTTTTGCTAGAACTTTATTGTAACTTTGGATGATCTTTACTGATTACTATCAATAAGCATATATGGCAATCCATTAAAAACTATAGTGAAAAGTATACCAGGGGTCAGAGCAATAGCACAGCGGATAGGGCATTTGCCTTCCAAGGCTGACCTGGGTTCTATTGCCAGAATCCTATATGGTACCCTGTACACTTCCAGGAAAAAAATGGAAAGAGTATATCAGATCTAACCCACTGATTATTCATTTACACCCTTGTTGTAGTCCCTAGAATATAGAAGAAAGCTCATGAGGCAATGTCCAATGTCCACTTAACAGTATATGTGCATTTTATCCTCTTTTCTATAAGAAGCATCCTGAGAGAGCTTAGTAAATGTTAATCACATGCTTAACTAAATCTTTAATCAATATCTGCACTCTGAGGAAATAAGCAATACTTTGCTATTTACTTGATGGTAGAAGTCTATCAAATATTAAATTAAAAAACTATAGACCTGCAAAGAGTGAAGTGAGTGTGGCCAGCCAGCTGGCTTGGCCCTGTAAAGCCCAGCTAAGGTCCCCTCAGACTAAAGCCAGGCAGGTGAGGCATCAGGGCTCTGTAGCAAACTTTAGAACATCATCTTTGCCAGGTCAGGAGTGAACCCTGTCCATGAAGGAGTTCCTCAGCTGTGTATTTCTTCAGTTCTCCATTCTATCAGTTCTTTATTCCATACATACATACAATGCTTAATTTTAGATTCCTAAGCATTCAACAATACACAAGAAACAACTCCAAACTGCAAAAGTCATAATGGTTAAAGCAAAGCAGAAATCCACCAGGCATAGTGAGTGAAGATCCTAGCCCAGATGACCCAACCAGTAAGAATGAGCTATATAACCTACCTGATAAGGAATTTAAAATGGAATTGTTGAGGATGCATGAGAAACTCAAAGAAGCAATGGAATGCACTGCCATTAAAAT